GACCAATCTGCAGAGGTCCTTCAATGGCTTGCGCAGAACCTGGCCAAACCAGTGCAATCGGCGATGCTGGATGTATGATGATAGACTTGGCAGGTGTCCTATTACCAAGTCTAGCATCATACATCCAGCATCGCCGATTGCACTGGTTGGGCCACGTCCTGCGCAAGCCATCAACGGACTTCCGCAAGTTGGTCGTGAATCCCTCTCGCAGTACAAACTTGCTTGATTCTGGTGTCCTTTAGCAGAGGCTATACAAGTTTTTCCTTTGAGAAAACCGTTCATAGGTATGTCCATGAAAAATAGTTGCCCTAAAACTAACTTTGATCCAGGTGGGTCAGGAAAGTTTGTAAATTTGGCAACTCATTGAAAAAATGAGGGACAATGTAGGCTGAGGTGATCTTTTCTGTCCTGTTTGTTATCATTAACCAGCCACACTCAACTCTTCCGGGTTCCCTAAATTTGAACTTTTTAAGCAAAGCCCCCTCCGGCAATCTGGTCAAGGAGGCGCCGATTCCACCAGGCTAAGTCTAAATATAGAGAACAGATAATAAAGCTGCAAAAGCTCAAATGGGCTCATGCTAACTGAACGCATTCGCTGATGGTCTTTACTTCTTAGTTTTGTGTCAGATCTCTGCTGATTCTTCATAGTTTTCATGTATAATCTTCTCCAAATATCCTCGACTTAGTCGCTCCGCTTCTCTAAAACCAAACACCCAGTGGACGTGGTACCATTAACTGTCAGCATATGTCATCTTGTGGTGCCAATTGGATTCTTAGGCTGTCAAAAATGTCCATTGCTTTCTATTAAATTGGCTTAAATGCGAGAGTTGCTCGTTATAACTCTCTTACTAGTTCCATTGCTTAATTTGATTGTCTGCTATATGACTCACAAAGCCTAAACGACAAAACTGCTGCTCGTCGGTATAATTTTAATAGTTTTTCTATGCAGAAAGCAGCGCCATAGTTTCCTAATCTGTAACTAGATCTTTTTGCCCATACTTGTAGCTAACCAGCATACATTTTTAAGGTCGTTCAGGTCATCACATTTTAAAATAGTTTCCCTGTAGAAAGTTAATTTTTGCGGACGTTTTTGTCGAGTTTGCCCATGTATGTACTGCTTTGGATGTACTAAAGTAACTCTCGACATCAATATGACTGTCACCATGTAATAAATGGGAACTGGGTCAGTGTAATCGCCTACTTGGGCAGGTATTCATAAGCCACGTCATCTTTTACCGTTCGTAAGTCTTTGGTAGTTCATCCCCTTACCAACTATATTTTATAATTACCTCTTTTTTGGTTTTTATGTTATGTCTAACAATAGCTTGGGTAATCTTATTTTGCTGGCGTTATTAAAACTAATGTCGTTCACATCTATCTGCTCTATATTCTCCCACTTATTCCCTTCTCCAAAACGGAGCGGAGCCGGGTAATTGTGATGCTCTTGACACAAAAACTGCTTAGACCCCACAAGTCGGTAACCCTGAGCAGTGTTTTTACTCAGAGCACTAAAATAATTAGGCCTAGTTCCGTTTTGGAGGCTAAGGGGATGGGCCCGTGCCTCGTGGCAAACCTGACGCGTGGCAAACTCTAGGCTTGCGCGTCTCTGCAGGTGGGCGTGTGTGAATAAACATGTGGCAGTCAGGCAGTGTCCGCTTGATCAGTTGATTGGAGTATAGCAATTTGTAGACGTCTGTGATTGGCTGCCCCAAAGGCCGCATGCGTGTATTGTCAGGTAGCTGGAGAACTGTGAGTACATGACCTATAGCGTGTCATGGGCATCAGAGATGGAAAGCGTGTATAAGTCATCCTTTAGTCGTAATCTGCATAATTGTCAAAGCCTACCTTCTGTTATCCCATTTAGTACGACGTGTATACGAGTATAAGACGTACGCGCCGATGATGCAAAAATTGTGACATTAATTTGCGCTATCATTTGCCTTCGCCTTCACTTCCTTGAGTTTTTCAACATAACTTCGATCGTTGAACCTATATTTGATGGACCCATTCCCCTTCATACTTGTACTCTGAACAACGTCTAATTTTCCCTCTATTTTGCTTAGGATGTGGAAGCAATGCCCGTGACATCACCGCGGTTGATGTCATCGGATGCCCCTCGTAAAATCTACAGAGAAGTTGAAAAGGATCCGAAGGAGGCGTCTGTGGAAATTTCGGACGGCATAAAGGATTATTACGTCAGCAAAATTGATGAGCTACAGTACGTAGTAACAGAAAAAGTGCAGAATCTGCGGCGACTGGAAGCACAGCGTAACGAGCTTAATGCTAAAGGTAGGTCATGCCTAATTGTTTTCGAGCTCTTTAGTTCGTCTATTACGTGAAGAACTACAGCTGCTACAAGAGCAGGGCTCCTATGTGGGTGAAGTGATCAAGCCAATGGACAAGAAGAAAGTTCTTGTAAAAGTTCAACCAGAAGGGAAGTTTGTTGTTGATATCGACAAAAATATCGACATCGCCTCAATCACGCCCAATTGCCGTGTTGCCCTCCGAAATGACAGTTACACACTTCACAAAATCCTGCCCAGCAAAGTCGACCCCCTAGTTTCTCTCATGATGGTCGAGAAGGTACCCGACTCTACTTATGAGATGATCGGCGGTCTTGACAAACAAATTAAAGAAATTAAGGAGGTCATAGAACTTCCAGTAAAGCACCCAGAATTGTTTGAAGCTCTCGGTATTGCCCAACCGAAGGGTGTACTATTGTATGGACCCCCGGGAACTGGAAAAACTCTCCTTGCTCGAGCAGTTGCCCATCACACAGAGTGCACATTTATTCGTGTCAGGTAACATTTTGTCATCTTCTAATTCTGCGTGCTAAAGTGGTTCCGAACTTGTTCAGAAGTTTATTGGTGAAGGCGCCAGAATGGTGCGTGAGCTTTTCGTCATGGCCCGAGAACACGCGCCCTC